ACGTGGTTGACCAATCAGGATAAGAGGACGGAGAAGGATTGTTTGGATGAAGTGAGAATACGTGATGGGTGTGGTGTCGAGGGTAGTATTGAAACAAGGGAAATGAGAGTTACAGCAAAGAACAGAAGGATAACGTTACAACTGGCGAGAGAAAGAGAGATAAAAAAAAAGAAAGAAATTCTTTATAAATGGGTCTGAGAAATGAGGAAAGCGGTTTGTGTATAGAAGAATAAAATTGTAAAAGGCAAGAAAGTTGGAGAGAAACAAGAAAATTGAATGGACTGGCAAAATAGAAATTATAAGTCATATAAATTCAAAAGCAAAAAAAGAACTCGGCGAAAAGCGGGATATCAATGAATGGGAAATCTTTTAAAAAAATACGCATTTATTCGGCGAAAGCGAATAAAGAAAAAGAAATAGTGAAAGTCAAATAAGTTATATTTAGAAAAGAAAGAAAGGGACATAATTGATGATAGGATGATATTCGACAAAATATGACGAAGAAGAAGTAAAAGAAGAAAAAAACGAAGAAGAATTAAATGCAAAAAAAGAAGACACAAATTAAGGAAAAAATACATTAGGACAAAATGAAACAAAGGCGAAAAAGCTTACTTAATGAAAATTCTTTCCACATTGGCGCTTGAAAGAATCAAGGAGACAAATTTTGACAGGGAAAAAACTTAAATAATTAATAAATATGTAGCAATGTACAAAGAAATGAAAGATAATAATAAAGGTAAGGAAAGTAGAATGAAAAATAAATTAAAGGAAAGAGAATGAAAAAATGCATTAAAGAATGAAAATGAAAAATAAGTTAAAAGGAAAGAGAATGAAAAATACATTAAAGAAAATAAAATGAAAAATAAGTGAAAGGAAAGAAAAAAGTAAAAATAAATGAATGAAAACGGAATGAAAAATAAATGAAAGAAAAGAAATGAAAAATAAAGGAAAGAAAATGAAAAATAAATGAAAGGAAATAATAAAATAAAGAAAGACAAATGAAAACTAAATAAATGGAAAAAATACAAAATGAAAGAAAAATCAATTAAGGCAAAAACGAAAAAAAAAACAACAAATAAAGGAAAGAGAAATAAAATAAATGAAAGAAAACAATGAAATAAAGAAAGGCGAATGAAAACTAAATAAAAGGAAAGAATAAAAAATGAAAGTAAAAAGAATGAAAAATAAGTGAAACGAAAGGGAATAAAAAATAAATCGCAGAAAAGTGAATGAAAGATGAATGAAAAGATAAAAAAGAAAAATAAAGGAAAGAAACTGAAAAATAAGTGGAAGGAACAAGAACGGAAAAATAAGAAAAGAAAAAAAGAATAAAATGTAAAAATTTAAAGCCACAAGAATGACAAATAATTGAGAAGAATGAAAACGAAGAAAATCATCAGTATTAATATCGTTAATATTTTCATTCTCTTATTTTTTCCAAAAAGCGAATGAAAATATTAACGATAAAAATCTGAAATATGTAAATAATACGAAATAGAAAACTTGAAAGCCCCAAAAAACTAAATTAATATATTAATTTATATTTTTTGGTTTGAAGCTTTCTTGATATCGAAGCGAATCAATAAAATTACGACAAACATGATATAATATAGAAAATTTAAAAAAATTAAAAATATAAAGAGAAAGGGCATGGCAAATATAAAAAAACGATGAGGAAAAATATCTGAAAGGATATATAGACGGTGCAAATAAATAAAGAAAGAAAGAACTAAGACTGTGATGGAGATGCTTCAAAATAAAGAACGACAAAAGGAATAAGGTATTGTAATCAGGAAATATTCAAAATGAAACGAATCAAATGAATTAATAAATACAAAAATGAAAATGTGAATTTATTTCAAGTGGTCGTTAAATAAAGATCGATATAGCTGGAATTAATGGCTGTAAGTGAATGTTCCCAATTCATGATTCATTCATTGTTTTATCTACATATGACTGATGGTGAAAAGTTCCCTACCCAGAAAGAAAAAAAAAAATATTTCCCGAAAAATTCTACAGCCTGGTGGAAATTTTGGAATCCAAGAAATTATCAAAACTCTCTTATGTAAAACTACACACACACACACACACACACACACACACAAACACACACGAGCGCGCAAACAAACTCTCACACACACACACACACACACACACACACACACACATATATATATATATATATATATATATATATATATATATATATATGTGCGTAAGGAAAAGAGAAAAGAAAAAAAATGACGACTGATTAAACAAAAGATAGTAAAGTGAAAAAAAAATAAAACTGTGTATAGGAAGAGAAAGTATGACTAAAAACGGAAAAAGGCGAGATAAAAAGTGTTTGCCTGAGAAGAGGAAGAAGACGGTAGAAGCGAGTGTGAGTTTCAATTATTAATGCAACAGAGTTACCGTGTTTGAACGTGCTAAGAAAAGCTTGATGTGACATGAATAAGCAAGCTACCGGCGTCCGACGCCGCGGCCAACGTTGCCTCTGCATAAACTATGAGTCGACACCATCGCTAATGTGCCAGTGTTGATGTGCCAAGATACGGGGTTCAGTCTGTCAAGGAGGGTATGTGGGAATACAAGTGGGCAGACGTTTCCCTTCCTCTGTGTGTGTGTGTGTGTGTGTGTGCATTTGACTGTTAGTCTATGTGTGTGTGTGTGTGTGTGTGTGTGTGTTTAGCTCGTTCTTTATATGAGGTTTATCTATGATTGTATATTTCATCTTACATCCTGTAGATGTGTGTATACTTGTAAAAGTAGAAACGTTTCTATGTATATTTCTCACTTTGTAGAAAATAATCTCCGTAGGAAAGTATTAGCAGTTTACTAATAAATAAAAAATATTACGCGTGTGTGAGTGTTCGAATGAATACGTATGTGTACAATTATATTTGCGTGTAAACATCTAATAAAACATAATTATCACAATACGCATATAAATATATATGTATGTGTGTGCAAGTGCTTATATACTTGACTATTAATTTATATATATATATATATATATATATATATATATATATATATATATATATATATATATATATAAACGTTACGTGCGTAAGAATTAAATCGACAAGGCCATCTCTAGTATGGCATAATATAATAAAACGGAGCGTTTACTCACTTAATATTATTCACTAAAAATAATGGCTAAGTAATGAAAATATGTCGAAATAATAAATCAAAACAAATCCTTTTCTTTACAAATTGCTTTGATTACGTTAGAAAAGGAAACTGAGCTGATGTGTCTATTTCAAGATTTTAGAGAAAATGTGTTTAAAGAGAGAGAGATAGAGAGAGAAGGAAAGAGAGAGAGAGATTTAGGCGTTTGTGCACGTGTGTGGATATGCAGTTTATGACTGTGTTCATATGCATTTTTGCGTATGTGTGTTGGTTGGTACATATGCATTTTTTTTTTTTATATGTACACGTGTGCATGTACCTGTGTCGGACGAATTTATTTAGTTTATGTTGGTATATATATATATATATATATATATATATATATATATATATATATATATATATATATATATATATATATATATATATATATATATATATATATATATATATATATATATATATATATATATATATATATATATGTGTGTGTGTGTGTGTGAGAGAGAAAGAGAGATTTTGGAGTAGTGTTTAATTTATGGTAAGAATATTTTTAGGATGTGTTATATTTATGGATTGAAGATTGAGTTCAAGCATGAAACAGATTGTCCTCTCTGTAACAACTTTAAACACACACACACACAATAATATATATATATATATATATATATATATATATATATATATATATATATATATATATATGAAAGCGTCGCCCATGTGACGACGGCGTGACCATGTTAGACGGAAGGCTGATCATTTTAAAAAATTTCAGTTATCTGTTTTGGATAAGACTTGTGTTTTTATGTCCATCGTATTTGTCATATTGAACTGAATTGTATTTTAATGAATATTGTCTTGAAAAAGGTTTATTAAACCGAAACGTCAGACGTCGACATTTCATTCATTTTAACTACATTTAAGGATTTTTGTTTGTTTTTTCAAAATTTTTCTTCATATATATATATATATATATATATATATATATATATATATATATATATATATATATATAGAGAGAGAGAGATGTACGTACGTTAAACGGTTTATCACTTATGAATTAGTTCAGGGCTGCCTACCAGTCACAAATTTGCACTATACATACATACAGGTGGTGCAGTTCAATTTATATTACAATGAATCATTCATGCAAAAAGTAGATTAGTAAAGTTAATGATATAAAATGACGCCATTTTATATCATTAACTTTACTAATCTACTTTTTGTATGAATGATTCATTGTAATATAAATTGAAATGTGCCACATATATGATTTAAAAGAAATGATCCGACGTGCAAATCTTTGGAATAACAACTGAGACATTACTTTATTTATTGAACTATTTAGTTCATGCGACATTGACTGATAAACTCCTTCAACAAAAGAATAAAAAATTCTCAAATTGCTATATTAATAAAAAACGCACTTCTTAAATTTAAAAAAAAAAAATTTCCACCATAGAGTTGCGACTGCGCGCTCCAAGCGTTTATATCCGTTAGCAATGAAACATTTAAAAGAAAACATATTTCGATTCGCATTTAATTTTTTCGTCTCGGATGCTACCTGAATTTTGTGTGTATGTTTATGTTTATATATATATATATATATATATATATATATATATATATATATATATATATATATATGGGGGCTGAAAAATATACAGAAAATAGGAAAAGAACTCGTTAGGTAAATAATCCAAAGTTCTTTAGTATTTTTGTTATTATTTTTAAAAATAGTGCTCGATAGAAATGTAGAGCATAAATATAATTATTTATTTAAAAATATGATTCCAACACGCTACATAAGAGTTCTCATGTTTCTAAACAAGATCCGAAAACTTCAATATAATTATTTGAATTAA